AATGACCCATGCAGAGCCCACGGCACCATTGATGGGAAGTCCTGCTCTAGGATGGAATTCCCAAGCAAATGGGTGGGGTCATCTTCAACCACAGGAGATGATGCCAAGTGTTTCTTTCCCAAAGTAGCTTTACTAATTCAGACTGCCCTTCAACAACACATGAGATTTGCCATTTCACCACTGCAACAGAATGTGGCAATATGCCTCATCTGTTTATATTGGCATCTCCCGTATTAGTTGTCACAGTAAACATCTTTTCATGTATTTATTGGTCAATGTTTCCTCTTCTGGGATTCATATCTTTATATTCATATCTTTTTTCCATTTTTCTACTAGGCCATTAGCTTTTTTTTTTTCTTATGAATGTCTGGAACTACTCTCTAGAATCCAGGTACTAATATTCTGTCACTTATATGCTGATATCCTCATTTCCCAGTCTGTGGCTTGTCTTCTAATATTGTTTATTAGTACTTTTTGTTCCATAGACATCTTGCAGAAACCCTACAACCCTACAACCTTACTACATTACTACATTACCAGATTTTACTACATCAAAGTAAAATCTGATAGTAAAATCTGGTAATACTTCCCTTTAGGGTTTCTGCATTTTTTCCTTGTTAAGTCTCCTTCCCTGTCTTGAGGTCATATGGTAGTTTTCCATCTTTTCTTATGAAAATCTTCCTGTTCACATTAAAGTTCATGTGAAATTGAACTTTCTCTGACACTGATTTCTTGAGATCCACATTAGAGAGGTTTACTTTATTTTATGATAATTGTTGGTCCTAGGACCATTTACTGAATGGTCCTTCATTTCCCCGTTGACTTACAGACCAACTTCATAGACATGCATATCTTCTTTTTGCAATGTATGCTCCCTTATTTGAGAAAAAGAGCCTAAGAGCAACACTTAGCACCTTGCCACAAGGTTCCTTGATAGCCTGAGAGTGAGTTCTTACGCTGCCCAACACAGCAGCTGGGAGAAACTCCAGCACTGGAGGGAGTCTCTCTTTGTGCATTTATGACTTGTGGTAATTAAACTTTGAGAGAACTTTTGACTCAAGACCTCTTTAAAAATTTCAGTGCCTTAGTCCTGCCAAAGCTCATGTGCTATTATCATGTGCTCCAGCCTTTAGAACTTCAGAATGAGTCATAGCCAAGATACAGTGTGTGTCCCATAGTTCTCTACAGACTAGAGCCAGCCATCAAATTTCATATATTCCAGGTTTGAGAAATGCAGTTAGTTGACCTACAATAAACACACTTTATCACTTATGGGTGTTTTGCTCTGTTTCCTGCAAACTGTGAGACACGTGCATTATAATCCTCATACATTATTAAAACAGTTTGTTTTCTTTAAAAAAATATATCTTGGCAAAATAATATTGGAATTAAACCAGAAATTCAACTTTCTGGACTTAAAAATGGCACAGATCCAGACCAGGATTCAGAAAATAAATAAATAAATAAATAACAACCCTCAGCTATTTCAATTAACATACCACCACCACAACAAATCAGCAACTTGAAGAAAACGTCACAAGTACCTTATGGTAGAAATTTCTGTTAATGGAAATACCACGGACATGCTAACAGAGGAAAACAGAATGGAATCTACCCTTTTCTGGACACCTATTATCAATCAGTCACCACAGAAAGCACTTTTATGTATACTGTGCCATTTAAAAATTACCCTAGCCCTCAGATACATTATTTAAATTCCCACTCTAAGGATGAGAGGGTCAGATTTACAGATCTTGGTAATCCTGTCACAGGTGCAGAGCCGGTAAGCAGTAGTTCAGGGATCCAGACTCACGTGTTGCCCGGCATCTTTGCACATCCCTTTTCCAATGGCTTCTGGTTCTAGCACTTGGATGTGTTGCTATGAGAGGAATCATTCAAATAGCCTCCTTAGTTTCAGGACCAGGGATCAGGCTGAAGTGTGGGACTAGAAATGTGTGACGTCTGTGAGGCTGTCCTTAGTCTCCTCAGGAGCAGACCCAACCTGTAGTTGACGTCAGAATCACCCAGCCTCTGACGTACCAGCAAAATTCACCCAGAATTGTTGGGGTCCTGTCATCAGGACGTCTGTAAGCTGGGTCACTGGAGCCCCACTCCATATTACAAGCCCCATGATACCTCCAAAATCTCTAGGGTCATATGTACATTGGAGTACAGGATGTTTGAGTTTTAGAAAGATGATGTGCTGTGTTAGGAATTATTCCAGAACATGTCCTACGGTGTGAGGCAGCAACTTGTAACCTTATAATTATATTGATATTTCTTCTATGGAACAAATGAATAGTCATACCGAATAGGGGAAAACAAGACAATAAATAGGCCTGTCAGTTCAGGTAAGACTCTGCTGCTAAATGTGTTAGAAATACTTTTGGCTGAGAGTTTTGGAGAGGTCAGAATTACAGAGAATGGATTCTCTACCTGTTTCTCAAAAACTGAATGCTTCTAGGAAACTATCCTGTTACTATTTCCAGGGAGAAAAAGAGTAAATATGACATGAACCTTGAGTAATAACTTTGCTGTCAACAAAACTGTTTTCCACACATTATTTCACCCACAGAATAACAGTGTGAGAGATTTTTATTCTACTTTATTGGTGAGGTTGTTCAAGTTCAGAGAGCTTGAGAATCTTTTAGAAGGTCACGTAGCCAGGAAATAGTGGTTCTGGAATCACTTTTATCCTTGACCTCTATACCTCTGACCGGGTCTACAGGTTCTAATTCCAATTTCACCTTTTTGTTGTGTGGGCTCTCGCAAGCCACTTGAGTAGGAAAAACACAGTCCTCCTCCGAGTTTCTTCTTTGGCCTCACATTCCCAACACTTGTGACACAAGCTATGTGGGGGAGGGTGTCCCACACCAAGCCATTATGTGACAGCAGCCGGGTGCCCTACAATTTAAGTCCATTCTGGCACTAACTACCTGGAGAGAGCATCCGGTCCCACATGTTAAGGGCTCAGTTAAAGGGGGTTAAGTGTCCCCCCACTTTAGATACCAATCGCAAGTCTACATTGTTACCCGTGCTCCTGCTTGATCAGCTGTAATTGGCAGTTCCTGCAGCCTCCCTCCTTAGATTTGATTAATTTGCTGGAGTGGCTCTTAGAACTCAAGAAAACAGTTTATTTACTATTTATCAGCTTATTATAAAAGGATCTGATAAAGGATACATGTGAACATCCGGATAGGTATACAGAGGGCAAGGTGTATAGGAGGGGCCACGGAATTTCCATGCCTTCTCCGAGCATCTCCGTGTGTTCACCAATCCAGCAGCAGAAGTGCTCCCAACCACCTACTTCTGGGATTTTTAACAGAGATTTTATCATGTAAGCATGATTTATCACGAACTTCTTTTCCAACCCCTCTTCCCTTTCTGAAGAATGGGGAGATGGGGCGGAAAGCTCCAAGCCTTTAATCGTGGCTTGGTCTTTCTGGTGACCAGCCTCATCCAGGAGCCATCCAGGAGTCTTCTCAGAGTCACCGCATTAGAACAAGGTCCACTCCTATCACTGAGGAAAGTCCAAGGGGTTTAAGAGCCCAGTGTCAGGAATCAAAAATTAAAACAAATACTCAAACAAAAGATGCTCCTGGTGCTCATATCACTTAGGAAATTACAAGGTTTTAGGAGCTCTGTCAGGAACCAGGGGCAGAGACCAATTATGTGATTTTTATTATCTCATACCCCTAAACCTCACCGAAGTTTGGTTTCCTTGTCTATAACCTAGAGACAAGTAGTTTTCTTCAAAAGACTGCAGGGAGAAGCAGATAATATTGTGCTGTGCAAATGTAAGATCTTATTACTGTTCATCTGCATCATTTGGCTCCAAATCCATGTAACTTGGTCAGGACAAGGAGCATTATCTGTGACTCTCTGGGGAGCTCATCAGAACTTACAGAATGGCCAGAAGGGGACCTATCCTGTCCTGCTGAGCTCAAGCCCAGAGTAGCCACAGCTGCAGAGTTCTCCTGTGTTAAACTTCCAGCTGATCCCTGAGCATATTCCATTCCCATAATGTGCAAATTTTAAAGGACATTGGCCTTCAAGAGTGCTGGAAACAATAAATTGAAAACTCCTTTTCAGTCTTTGGACCTTGGAATATATAATTCAGGTAATAAAAAACATATCACATGTTTTATTGCACATTTCTATGTAATACAGAAATAGATATTAGGATGGAAGTTATCTTTCTTTTCTATACAGTCTTTTCAGGACCTCATGGAAAAGCAGCTACGCCAAAATCTGCTTCGTGGAAAAACTCTTTAAAAAGGTGTCCAGAAAAATGCCATAAAGGTCATTATTATGCCAGGAATTTGGTTGAAATATTGACTAAACCAGTTCCCACCTACATTCTCTGTAGATTACCACTTGTCCTATAACATCACAGCACAGATTGGGTGTGGCCTTGTCTTCTCAACACTGGCATGATGGAAATTTTATACTACACTTGTCATTCTAATTTTACACACACACAAAATTTCACATAAATAAATAAGTTATTATGTGCATGTATGTAAATATTGCACATACCTATGTATATATGTATATGCATTGAACACAAATACCTATTGCGTTTGTGTGTGTGTGTGTGTGTGTGTGTGCGCGCGTGTAGGCACGCACACATTATATGAGTGGTCATTTACTCAACAAACATATTAATTACCTCATGTGAATCAGCTACTTACATGAGGCATTGGGTATAGGAAAAAAGAGTATAATCTAATTCCTAACCTCTAGCAGACAGACATTCATGAAATTGAATAATTTGGTTAACGTAGTAGAAAAGCATTATCGCAGTGTTATTGAGGGTCCCGGGAAATTGCATGGGAGAGTATATATATATGTCTTCTCAATTAGAGAATCTAGGACTACAGTAGTACTACTTCATATTTTTCAAACACAGAATATTGTTTTGTATCTAGTATATGCTTAATTTATATTTTGTAGATTAATATCAGTTGGTTTAAAATATCTGGAATGTGTTGTTCTGGAAAAGTGATCAGACTTTGTATTTGCGTGTCATCCTTGCGCAGGCGCCGTGTGGATCATGTCTGTCCTGTTCCAATTTCAGTGTACTTGTTGCCGAAGCGAGCACTTAGACTTTGTGTTTGATGGTAATGCTTGCCGGAGTGATTCCTGTGTAGGACCAACCCAAATGAATGCTTTTTAAATCCGGACCATGCAGACAATATGTTGTCTTTTCGTTTGTTAATAACTTCTGAAATTCTAAAACATAGCAATTAGAATTGGATCACACATATAAAAGTTTAGATAAAAAGAAAGAAAAGTTATGAATTAAAAGTGTGTATGGGGTTTCAAAATGCTTCTGTCATTTCTTTGCCAGCATTGTCACATTTCAAGCCCATCATTTTTTTTTTATAAACATATAATATATTTTCATCCCCAGGGGTACAGGTCTGTGAATCACCAGGTTTACACACTTCACAGCACTCACCATAGCACATACCCTCCCCAATGTCCATAACCCCACTCCCCTTCTCCCAACCCCCTTCCCCCCAGCAACCCTCAGTTTGTTTTGTGAGATTGAGAGTCACTTATGGTTTGTCTCCCTCCCAATTCCACCTTGTTTCATTTATTCTTCTCCTACTCCCTTAACCCCCCATGTTGCATCTCCACTTCCTAATATCAGGGAGATCATATGATAGTTGTCTTTCTCTGATTGACTTATTTCACTAAGCATGATACCCTCTAGTTCCATCCACATTGTCGCAAATGGCAAGATTTCATTTCTTTTGATGGCTGCATAGTATTCCATTGTGTATGTACACCACTTCTTCTTTATCCATTCATCTGTTGATGGACATCTAGGTTCTTTCCATAGTTTGGCTATTGTAGACATTGCTGCTATAAACATTCGGGTGCACGTGCCCCTTCGGATCACTATGTTTGTATCTTTAGGGTAAATACCCAGTAGTGCAATCGCTAGGTCATAGGGTAGTTCTATTTTCAACATTTTGAGGAACCTCCATGCTGTTTCCAGAGTGGTTGCACCAGCTTATATTCCCACCAACAGTGTAGGAGGGTTCCCCTCTCTCTGCATCCTCGCCAGCATCTGTCATTTCCTGACTTGTTAATTTTAGCCATTGTGACTGGTGTGAGGTGGTATCTCATTGTGGTTTTGATTTGTATTTCCCTGATGCTGGGTGATGTGGAGCACTTTTTCATGTGTCTGTTGGCCATCTGGATGTCTTCTTTGCAGAAATGTCTGTTCATGTCTTCTGCCCATTGCTTGATTGGATTATTTGTTCTTTGGGTGTTGAGTTTGCTAAGTTCTTTACAGATTTTGGACACTAGCCCTTTAATTGATATGTACTTTGAAAATAACTTCTCCCATTCTGTTTGTTGTTTTTTGGTTTTGATAACTGTTTCCTTTGCTGTGCAAAAGCTTTTGATCTTGATAAAATCCCAATAGTTCGTTTTTGCCCCTGCTTCCCTTGCCTTTGGTGATGTTCCTAGGAAGATGTTGCTGCGGCTGAGGTCGAAGAGGTTGCTGCCTGTGTTCTCCTCAAGGATTTTGATGGATTCCTTTCTCACATTGAGGTCCTTCATTCATTTTTAGTCTATTTTCATGTGTGGTGTAAGGAAATGGTCCAATTTCATTTTTCTGCCTTGGCTGTCCAGTTTTCCCAACACCATTTATTGAAGAGGCTGTCTTTTTTCCATTGGACATTCTTTCCTGCTTTGTCGAAGATTAGTTGGCCATAGAGTTGAGGGTCTATTTCTGGTCTCTCTATTCTGTTCCATTGATCTGTATGTCTGTTTTTGTGCCAGTACCATGCTGTCTTGATGATGACAGCTTTGTAATAGAGCTTGAAGTCCGGAATTGTGATGCCACCAACTTTGGCTTTCTTTTTCAATATTCCTTTGGCTATTTGAGGTCTTTTCCGGTTCCATATAAATTTAAGGATTATTTCTTCCATTTCTTTGAAAAAAATGGATGGTATTTTGATAGGAATTGCATTAAATGTGTAGATTGCTTTAGGTAGCATAGACATTTTCACAATGTTTATTCTTCCAATCCAGGATCATGGAACATTTTTCCATTTCCTTGTGTCTTCCTCAATTTCTTTCATGAGTACTTTATAGTTTTCTGAGTATATATTCTTAGCCTCTTTGGTTAGGTTTATTCCTAGGTATCTTATAGTTTTAGGTGCAATTGTAAATGGGATTGACTCCATAATTTCTCTTTCTTCTGTCTTGTTGTTGGTGTAGAGAAATGCAACTGATTTCTGTGCATTGATTTTATATCCTGACACTTTACTGAATTCCTGTACAAGTTCTAGCAGTTTTGGAGTGGAGTCTTTTGGGTTTTCCACATGTAGTATCATATCATCTGCGAAGAGTGATAGTTTGACTTCTTCTTTGCCGATTTGGATGCCTTTAATTTCCTTTTGTTGTCTGATTGCTGAGGCTAGGACTTCTAGTACTATGTTGAATAGCAGTGGTGATAATGGACATTCCTGCCGTGTTCCTGACCTTAGTGGAAAAGCTGTCAGTTTTTCTCCATTGAGAATGATATTTGCGGTGGGTTTTTCATAGATGGGTTTGATAATATTGAGGTATGTGCCCTCTATCCCTACACTTTGAAGAGTTTTGATCAGGAAGGGATGCTGTACTTTGTCAAATGCTTTTTCAGCATCTACTGAGAGTATCATATGGTTCTTGTTCTTTCTTTTATTAATGTGTTGTATCACATTGATTGATTTGCGGATGTTGAACCAACCTTGCGGCCCTGGAATAAATCCCACTTGGTCGTGGTGAATAATCCTTTTAATGTACTGTTGGATCCTATTGGCTAGTATTTTGGTGAGAATTTTTGCATCTGTGTTCATCAAGGATATTGGTCTGTAGTTCTTTTTTTTTGATGGGATCCTTGTCTGGTTTTGGGATCAAGGTGATGCTGGCCTCATAAAATGAGTTTGGAAGTTTCCCTTCCATTTCTATTTTTTGGAACAGTTTCAGGAGAATAGGAATTAGTTCTTCTTTAAATGTTTGGTAGAATTCCCCTGGGAAGCCATCTGGCCCTGGGCTTTTGTTTGTTTGGAGGTTTTTGATGACTGTTTCAATCTCCTTACTGGTTATGGGTCTGTTCAGGCTTTCTATTTCTTCCTGGTTCAGTTGTGGTAGTTTATATGTCTCTAGGAATGCATCCATTTCTTCCAGATTGTCAAATTTGTTGGCGTAGAGTTGCTCATAGTATGTTCTTATAATTGTCTGTATTTCTTTGGTGTTAGTTGTGATCTCTCCTCTTTCATTCATGATTTTATTTATTTGGGTCCTTTCTCTTTTCTTTTTGATAAGTCTGGCCAGGGGTTTATCAATCTTATTACTTCTTTCAAAGAACCAGCTCCTAGTTTTGTTGATTTATTCTATTGTTTTTTTGGTTTCTATTTCATTGATTTCTGCTCTGATCTTTATGATTTCCCTTCTCCTGCTGGGTTTAGGGTTTCTTTCTTGTTCTTTCTCCAGCTCCTTTAGGTGTAGGGTTAGGTTGTGTACCTGAGACCTTTCTTGTTTCTTGAGAAAGGCTTGTACTGCTATATATTTTCCTCTCAGGACTGCCTTTGTTGTGTCCCACAGATTTTGAACCATTGTGTTTTCATTATCATTTGTTTCCATGAATTTTTTCAATTCTTCTTTAATTTCCTGGTTGACCCATTCATTCTTTAGAAGGATGCTGTTTAGTCTCCATGTATTTGGGTTCTTTCCAAGTTTCCTCTTGTGATTGAGTTCTAGCTTCAGGGCATTGTGGTCTGAAAATATGCAGGGAATGATCCCAATCTTTTGATACCGGTTGAGACCTGATTTAGGACCGAGGATGTGATGTATTCTGGAGAATGTTCCGTGTGCACTTGAGAAGAATGTGTATTCTGTTGCTTTGGGATGAAATGTTCTGAATATATCTGTGATGTCCATCTGGTCCAGTGTGTCATTTAAGGCCTTTATTTCCTTGTTGATCTTTTGCTTGGATGATCTGTCCATTTCAGTGAGGGGAGTGTTAAAGTCCCCTACTATTATTGTATTATTGTTGATGTGTTTCTTTGATTTTGTTATTAATTGGTTTATATTGTTGGCTGCTCCCACGTTAGGGGCATAGATATTTAAAATTGTTAGATCTCCTTGTTGGACAGATCCTTGGAGTATGATATAGTGTCCTTCCTCATCTCTTATTATAGTCTTTGGCTTAAATCTAATTGATCTGATATAAGGATTGTCACTCCTGCTTTCTTCTGATGTCCATTAGCATGGTAAATTCTTTTCCACCCCCTCACTTTAAATCTGAAAGTGTCTTCGGGTTTAAAATGAGTTTCTTGTAGGCAACATATAGATGGGTTTTGTTTTTTTATCCATTCTGATACCCTGTGCTTTTGATTGGGGCATTTAGCCCACTAACATTCAGGGTAACTATTGAGAGATATGAATTTAGTGCCATTGTATTGCCTGTAAGGTGACTGTTACTGTATATTGTCTCTGTTCCTTTCTGATCTACTACTTTTAGGCTCTTTCTTTGCTTAGAGGACCCCTTTCAATATTTCCTGTAGAGCTGGTTTGGTGTTTGCAAATTCTTTCAGTTTTTCTTTGTCCTGGAAGGTTTTCATCTCTCCTTCTATTTTCAATGATAACCTAGCTGGATATAGTATTCTTGGCTGCATGTTTTTCTCGTTTAGTGCTCTGAATATATCATGCCAGCTCTTTCTGGCCTGCCAGGTCTCTGTGGATAAGTCTGCTGCCAATCTAATATTTTTACCATTGTATGTTACAGACTTCTTTTCCCGGGCTGCTTTCAGGATTTTCTCTTTGTCACTAAGACTTGTAAATTTTACTATTAGGCGACAGGGTATGGACCTATTCTTATTGATTTTGAGGGGGGTTCTCTCAACCTCCTGGATTTTGATGCTTGTTCCCTTTGCCATATTGGAGAAATTTTCTCCAATAATTCTCTCCAATATATCTGCTCCCCTCTCTCTTTCTTCTTTTTCTGGAATCCCAATTATTCTAATGTTGTTTCGTCTTATGGTGTCACTTATCTCTCAAATTCTGCCCTCGTGGTCCAGTAGCTGTTTCTCTCTCTTC